CCCCCCCTGTCACAAGCCCCGCCCTCCCCTGCACTGCCCCCCCCAGTACAGCCCCTGCAGACACATGCCCACTCCCCCAGAACAGCCCCTGCCCCACCAGTGCACAGCCCCTGCTGCCATACGCCCTGCCCCCCCGCCACATGCCTCCCCTGGCACAGTCTCAACCACTGGTGGGCTCTCAGGGTGCTCCTGGCTGCAGCAGGCAGAGCACCTGGCAGCACACAGCTATGGTAAATCCTGAGAGCTGCGCATGGCAGCATGGCCCATGCCCGCCCTCCTCTCCTGCAAGCAGGAGCTCCTCTTCCCACTCACCAGCTACACTCTGGAAAATTATGCGATATTATGTGATTATGCGCAGTCATACAATTTACATGCAAAATACACAAGTGCATAATTGTGTAATTCCATGGGGTTTATTTAAGATTAGCATAAGTCCATATCTTCAAACCAGCTCCTTCCCTTCCTTCCTCTATAGTTACCTTGCTTTTTGAAGCTTGTACCACACAGAATACTCATCACGACAGGCAGTTAAATACACAATCTCACCCTGAAGAAGTGGTTTTTCATTTGGAAGAAAATATACACACTGCATCCAGTGGTCTCTCCACTGTAAAAATGTAAACAACAAAAACCCAATATAATATCTTACAAACCTCTACTTAATATAGTTAAAGGGTCATCATTTGACAAAAGGAATTTACAGATGCTCAGTATCTTACTTGGATATCAAGAGAAGTGGGTTGTGCCCAGTATGGTGCCATTGTACATTTTATTGTGCCAGAGGGATCCATGTCAATATCCCACCAAGAGAAGATCACCTGTGCCATGCCAGACTTTACAGGCTGCAACACCACTCTATGATAAGCAGACGCACTGCTTACTTGTTTACTGAAATCCACACTGCAGAGAAACATCAAATATATTTAATACAGACAGAGTGGTAAGTTTCCTTAAGAATGTATATGTTTAAAACATTATAGCAATAGGACTAAAATGAGAGTTTAAGATCTTTATAAATAAGTTGCACTGAAATCAAACCCTACACTGAAATTCAGTAACAGAAAAAAAAAAGAAACAAACAAAAAATCACAAATTATTTTTCATAAGTGCATTGTCAGCTTGCTCTGAACTTCACTTTTCTGTTTCCCAAGCTGAAGTTTGTTCATATAGAAGGTATAACAGAATTTTTTAATTTTAAAATGGAACCAAATCTGCTCATTACCTGAACATTGTTACAACATCACTGAGAATAGTGAAGTCGTTCCAAGGCATCTGGTTCAGTTGGATATCATAGACAGAGGAAACACCAGGACAGTTCTCCATTTCTGAAGGGGAGACAATAATTTTCTTGTCATCCTCTGCTTGGATGTGAACAGGAAACAACTTGTTCCAGGACCACATTCTTTTGGATTCCACTAACTGAGCATATACTGTTGCCCTGTGAGGCACTGCCTCACATCCTTCCTAAGCATTCAAAAACAAAGGGTAAATGCACTCAACAAAGTTGTAACACACAAGAAAAATAAATAGGTGAACTAAGCACAACACAGAAAACCTGGAATTCTTAAGCCCAATTATGTGACCCTTCTTCCACAATGTTGGATAAATGCTTTACTGTCATCCCCTGCCTCCCCCTGCCATAAAATATGAAGAGACCTAACTCTCAAAATGTGGCTGTGAGAATTACTTACCTTTTTCCAGTACTCACTACTGTCATTTTCTTTTTAACCTTCTACTAAGCTCATGCTATTTTCATGTATTAGAGACCCACCCAAACTTTATAAAACAAAAAAAATTAATTTAGCTATAGCACCAAGACTAGAATTAACAAATGCAATGAAAAATAAACAAAAAGCAAAGATTAAATAATACCTACAGACTGTAACTACAGTCCTAGAAAGCAGTGACTAAAAAGGACTGCGGTCTTATCATGTACAAGAAACTAGATATGCACTCCCAGTGAAATGCTAAAAGGATTAAATGAAATTGGGTGTATGGAGAGGGGAGGAAGAACAGGAAGCTAATTTCTCTGTTTATAGTATTGGTGTCTATACTAGAATTCCACATAACATTCTACAGTTGTAATTTAAAAGGATATAGAAACGTTAGAGGATGCAATAAAAAAATGTGATTAAAAGGCTAGAGAAAATATAGCAAGATTCTGAGCTCAACCTATTTAGTTTAAAAACAAGACTGAGGGGTGATGATATTATAATACGTTACACAATGGTAATTAAATCGGAGATGCATGAAGTACATCTCTACCTTGACTTCTGTCTGATTTCAGACTAACACAGATAACTCTCTCTCAATATTACAATAACTTATTGCATGAAAGGAAAAACGAAATTACAGTGAAACCTGCCCAAGACTGAAAAAAATACTGGAAACTAACTGCCTCTTTAATCTAGCAGAAAAGATATAGCAAGAAGTAAGAACTGAATTGAACTAAGCTGAATCAAATTAGAAATAAAACTTTATAAAAAAGAACACTAGGAATGATTAATCAATCACTGGAACTAGCCAATAAGGTTTATCCAGTGGTAGATCCTCAAGCCCTCTTGATATAATTATGACAATAACTTTCTGGAAGATAGACTTTAACCAAATGCAATTACTTGGTCTCAAGATGGGAGTAACTGTGAAATTTAAGGACTTTTGATATACAAAAAATAGACTAGTTGATCTGAAGGTCACTGCTGACCTTGATTCTATGAACAATGCTGACAAATTACACACTGAGGTAGGAACTAAATACAGATGATATTAAGTAAACATACTAACCCATATTCAAGCCTCATCCATCTCTATAGAAAAGAAAGGAGTTATACCAGAGAAAGATTTTGTTATATTACCTACTTTTAATGTCTTACCTGTACAAGATATTTGTGGGCATGTTCATAACTTGGTAAAGCTCCTTCTCCAATCAACTCTGTGTCAAAAAGCTCTGTTATGAGGATATTTGCACGACACCGCATGTCTCCATCTTTAAAAAAAAGGGAAAAATTAATATGCTACCAGTTTGTGTTATATTAGAGAAACTTTATAATGTTCTTTCTCATCAGGTACTGTAAGTATAAATTATAAAAAAAACCCTGATTTTTACTGTGGTGCAGTTTAAATGTTCATCGTGGAGCTTGAACATCAAGGAATAAAAATTGAGAAGTTTATAACTGAGATTTTGTGAAAATTTTGCTTTGGATCTGTTTTCTCTACCACATTCCAGAGGGAAGGGTGGTTATTAAATTAAGCTAAATTTGAAAAAAAAAAAAGAAGTGTCACCTCATAAAATACTTAAACAGATTTTTAATAGTCAAAATACTTAAACAACTAAATTTTTTTGAGTTATCCCCACCTGGTCCAACTGTGACTTCAGTGGAGTGCTTATTAATAACTTTGATCTTCTCACTAAAGCCATTTTTCTCCACTATCTTCACAGCAGCATTAGCCATAGGCTTAAAAACCTGAAATTACCAAGAATGCAATATTTTGATCAGATATATCAACATCCAAAGTGAAGATACTGCTACACAGTCAATCTCATACAAATTAAATGTTATTAAAGAAAACCTCCTTTTTACCATACCTACTCCTGTGAAAGTGTAAGACTGTGACAGTTACTTCTTAGAAATGGCATAACTTAAGACATTCATAAGCTTCATATGCCCCCCTGTGCAGAAGTATACAGTAATACTATGCAGTGCAATCACTCTTCTAAACTTTCAAAAGTGAAAAATTTATATGAGGAATATTAATCACTAACATCTGAAGTAAACTTCCAGTTTCAAAATCTGCTCATTATAAGATGGTTACAAGACCTAATTAAGCTGAAGTAGGGGGAAGAGAGAGAGAGAGAGATTGATTGCCAATAAAACAAACAGAGCTGCTGTGCTTGTCAAAATGTATATATAACAAAAACATGAACCATAGCAAAAGAGATTTTTTTCCGTATCACAGCTGATAGAAAAATGTTTATTTTATTCCTTACTGAGTCAAGAATGGGAAGGGGGAAAGGTTCCAAACTACCACAGGACCAAAATTAATATATGGGAAGTTTTTAAAACGACAGCAATCTTTCTAAGTTACTTCTGCAATGCAAAAGGCTTTTTTTGCATTGCAAAATGTAAAAGACTTTTTGTACCAACTAAATTAAAGCATTTTTAAACTGGTCCAACTGTGGAGCTGATTACTCAGAAGAGGAGATTGGTAACAACTTTTGAACTCAATCCAGTTGTCCCATAGAAAGTTAAAATGCTGCTATTTTATTGCGCTAAACAAAGCCTATCCTCAAAGAGCCTATATGATTTTAGGCAAATATAAAACTTCAGGAGCTACTTAAAATTTCTAAGTGCTACTCCCAAACTGTGGGAGCACAAAAGCTGTGATTGGCAATCTCAGCTGGTCAAGTGAAAACTGCCTAAGGTGGAACCTGTGAAAGCTAGAAACCTGCTTAAGTTGGAAAATTTCTACAGTCCTGGCATGCCTAATGGTGAATTATGTATATTTAGTCTGGATAAACCAGAAACTAATATGGAAACAGAAAAAAAAATTGGGGCCCATTTGCAGAATCACCCTGTGTAATGTACAAACTAATTAGCTATGCAATTCCAAATAATGTACATAATGGGACAGCCTATTAAAAAAAAGTCTCAACTTAAGAAGTTTTTCACCTTTTCCAAGTTTATCTTATTCCTCCTTCTCCACCCCTGCCATGGCCACTTGCATGGAGACAAAGGTGAGGAAGCTCCTTACAAGCAGTGGTAAGAGATGATGCAGGGTGCATCATCCACAACACTCTTCAAGATATCCCAGGCACCAGCTGCTGTGCTGTACCTACTGCTGCCTGGCAGCAGTGGGGACAAGGCAGCTTGCACACTGCCCCAGGTGGCTGGGGTTTTCTCCACTTGGTCAGCCACATAGCTGCATACACAGACCCCCTGGGAACATCCTCAGTTGAGTGGCAAGGATGATGGAACTCCCTGCAAACTGTGGCAGGAACCGGACATCCAGTAGTAGGATATGCAATTGTATGTTCCTATTAAGATGTGGTCCACACTATAAAAAAAAAGTTTTGAGAATTCACAGTTGAAGAAAAAATTAAGCTTATGAAAAACTATAACATGGTTTTGAGTACAAGCACCTTTCAGAATGTCCATCATTTCCCTAATACTGCCTTTCAGCTAGGAAAAGGAACTCAGAAGATCCCGTGCAATAACCTCATTTCTAAGTGCGCTAATTACAGTTTTGTCGTGTTTTGAGAAACTGCCAAGAGAACATAACTATAAAATAGTTCGCAAAAATATCTCCCTATATGGTCAACTTCCTTGAACATACAAATGATATTTTTAAATGTCTCTTTAAAAACCACAATACAGAGTGGGCAAAGGTACCCATATTGCTGCTTTGATAAAGGGAATTACAAATTGGAGCTCTTTTGGTTAGACTAGGTGCATACACTCCTATCTGCATGCTAGCTGTGCCATTTGCATGCCCGAAGCCACAGACATATGTATTGTCCATGAGCAAATACTTACCTCAATAGCATAGCAGAAGTCTGCACCTGCTGAAACTGCCATCATAGACAGGAGTCCTGTGCCAGTCCCAATGTCTAAAACAATTGCTCTCTCGCCCCTTTCTTTCACTCGTCTCACTGCAGCAGAGATACCCTGGTAATACTTCACATTCTGCAAGAAAAACAGACAAAGATCAGTCACCCAGTGGAATCCCCTTATGTAAATCGGCTCTTAGATAAATGCCTTTTATTTTCAGGCCCTATGAGTTAGTAGGTGTCTGCTTTTCCTTCACACTACAGAGAGAGGTAAACTATCCATTTTCAATTTGTTTTTGTTTTTTTATTGTCTTTCAGCAAGAAATTACAGTGCCACCCAATAACTTTCAACAGTAACCTGGGTTCTGTAAACTTTTCCTGCTGTCACTTTGGTAAGTGCATTATGATAATACACAGATGTCTTAGGCAGCGATAGCAACTGGCACCATCTAGGACTCAGTGTTATTAGATCACTGACAAAATGTTTTATATGCATGAGGAAAAAATCAATGTTCCTTCAGAGGGGCCTCAAATGGGAAGCAGCTTAGGGACAACCGTCTATTCAGAATACAATATCACCTGCCCCTTGGTTTAAGGCTAGGGAATATGCTCATGGTGCTTTCGAGGGAACACAGAACAGTCTAGTTCTTAGGCAATGGTTCAAGTAACTTAGCAGACATTTTGTGATTTTATCATAAAGCCTACAGAATGGCTAAAAATCCAACTTCTGTGGTGCATTTTCTATAAATGTCTCTTATGATTCCTACAGCTGGCTTTGTAGTCTCCTGTTCTTTGTAACGAGCAAGTTCATTTACCATTCATTTTAACGCAATCTGAGACAAGTGATAATTATAAAAACCAAGTGCTTTTATTCTTGGTGAAGGGAAATTATTTTTAATGGGTTTATTTTCTCAAAAAGATTAAACTGAGATGAAGCTGGGGCAATCTCCAGGACTGGAACTAATTCTTTTCTCACCTAAGCAACACATGAACTCAAGATGTGAATATTTACTTTGAATAACCCAGTTTCTGGCCACACTCCTCACTTAAGAAATATTCCAGCTCCAGTCATAAGGAGCTATCTCTGTCTGACTGTTTACTGAACTCAAGCTGAATAAATGTTCTCTTTTTTTTAAGTCCTATGTTTCATGGAAAATTCAGATACCAACATTCAGTTATAAAGTAAGATTTTTCACTTTGACAATGTATATCAGTCCCAACACAAGGGCCTTGCACCTGCTATTCTGCAAGAAAGAACACTGCCATAATGCAGATATTGGTCTGTAAGAGTACTATATCCCAATTGTTTCAATTTTTCAAAAAAATTAGAAAAAGCTATTAAAGGAAAGTTGAGATGTTACGACAAATAAGCTTCCCCTAAGAAGATTTCTAATTCTCAATAAAAATTGATAACCATAAACATTGCTTAATAAGGTTCCTGACTTTGGCCCAGTTCCCATAAACATATGCACATGTTTAATGTTAAACACAAAATAAATTCCACTGGGACTAATTAGTTGGACTACTCACATGTTTAAAGTCTTTGCAGGACCCAGGTCTCAATGTCTTCGTTCTTAGTTCATGTCCACCTACTTATCATAGGGAAACCTGTAGAATCCAAACTGTCTGGCCAGAGACCATTTTAGTTACACTAAGGCTAAGTACAGACAGTCAAAGAGACTGAGGCTGAATTGATTCAATCTTTGCAAGTTAGTCTAAGCTGTGTAGACTGAACTGATAAGCAAGTGAACAGATATTCACTTTTGCTTCCAGAAATGCAGACACATACCTGCAGTGGCTGAGGTCAGAAGCTGGGGGCACTAGAACATGCCTCCCTGCTCAGCTGAAGCAGACAGCTTGGACCAAGGCTAGCCTGCCCACCCTGCGATGGGGGTTTGCAGGAAACGTGTAAAGCACCCTGGGATGCTGGGGGACTGAGTTAACTTGAATCTGAAGGGAATCTGGGACCAAAGTTCAATCAACCAATTTAACCTAAATCAGTTAAGTCTGATAACCTGATCCTTCAACCAGTTTTGGTCATTTTCAAAGTGATTTATGTGCACCAAACTTCTGTTGCATTAGATTTGAATTGGTTTCACTTATATTGGTTTATGAGTAATTTCTGTCCCCAGCCCGACAGGCTGCTGTGAAACAAGTGTCTGACTTAAATACGGAAATGTATAAGCACGATTTAAACTAATGGGAAAGAAAGTGTATAACCAACAACTGGTGAAAAGATACTGTTCATACTTGATATGCATCTTTTGAGATAGACTTCTGCAAAATTATATTCAGCCCTCTAATTAGTACAGCTACATAAAGTTACGTGGTGGATCAAGATTTCAGCTCATGTGGCAGACAGCAATCATTCCCCTCAAACCCAATTACTAGAATACCCTAGCAGCGCACCAGACAAAGGTGACAACTAAAAGATAACTGGGTAGTAACTGGGACATGCTGCCATGAAATATGCCCTGCTCATTCACTTTCACTCTGCACATTTAAACTCATGATATAGATATTAAACATTAAAGTAGATGAAAAAGAAGTCCTGAGAACATCTCTGAAAACAGATGTCAGGCCTATGAGAACTTCAAATCCCTATTGCACAAATCAAGCATTAGATATTTCACAAATAGAAAGTGGGGCATTGACAGAAGGTTATCCAAGGACCCAGAGCTTCAACATATTACACGGAAGGCAAGGAACATGGAATCACTATGAAACCTCAACTTTATCTTTATTTTACCCATTAAAAGTTGTCCTAGTGACTGCATTTTAAATTCAAGCTTATATTCTAAAATAAAAGGGCTTTAAAGCCACTGCCGTTGTCTGAAAAAATCATGACCCATCCCCCTGCTGTTCCCACAGCTTCACAGGAACCCTCTAATATTATACCATGGGGTTATCAGTGGAATCCACTGATGACTGCATCGTATCTAGTTCCTTACCAACCTGCAAGAATATCTCTTTGAAACAAAAGAAAGGTAAGAGATTTATCAACTTTCTAAAGCCAGATACTGAAAGACATGATTCCCAGCTGGAGGAAGTGTGTGACAGACAGTCATGATCTATTACCACCTACCAAAACATCAACTTTAAAATGAATTAAAGGAAACAAGTTGCTAAAAGAAAACACAAAAGTGACTGAGTTCTTATGAAACACTTGTGGACTCTGGGTTGTGAACTAAGTGTTTTGGGAACCCAACAGGTGTAAAGGAAAAGGAAAAACAAAGAACTGGTGATCAAGCACTTCCAAAAGAATATTTTATGCTTTTGTAATGAGACTCAAATCCTCCTAACCCTCAAATGACCCAACACAGCTCCTAGTAAGAGAAAAGTATTCACCAGTATAGGATATTGAAAACCCACTGGCAAAGAAACACGCTTTTTCCTCAATTTTTATTTTAATCCTGTGTGCAATAAGGAAACATTTTCCTGGTTAAAGCAACAAGACTGCCTTTACAAACATGCTTCTTTTTATTTGACACACTTATTGAATAGAATGGAAATTGCCATTTCTTTAACCCAATAAATAATAGTAATGACATGATACAGAAAAAAAACAGTTGAAGAGGGAAACTGAAGGCAGAACTAGTGTGCCTATTCTACCTTGACCCTTAAAGACATCTCCAGTAATGGCTAAAATTTAAATGTCATAAATTGCTGAACATTTTGGGACATATGAATCTCAGTACAGCATAGAAGAAACCAATGAATTAGCAGATTAACAAAGTAACATTGGTACAGACCATGAGTTTCACTTTTTTCAAAAAACCTCCCATTTTTAATTAGTCAAAGATTGCCCAGGATACTTCCAGTCTCCCATACTGAATAACACTGGAGACAGGTCAAGCTGCTGTAGAGTATGCAGCACCTTCTATTTTTTGTGATTATAAAACTATGTAAGAAGCTGACTTTACTGCATCTGCATTACCTGTCTACTGTAGCAAATTTACATGAATATTCATAAAAGGACATTAGAACTCATCCCCAAACTTGCACTACACTGCTGAAATGTACTACAACAGAAAGCAATATTAGATAGGCTTGATATGGCAATATTACCTATACACACAAAAGAGCCACCTATGCTACATTTTCTCTTTATCCTTAAATAATTAAGCAGCAACATTAAGTGCTCATGTATATAAAATCATAGTATGTGAATAATACATTTCAAACATCAGCAACTCCGCCCCCACCTCCAGTCACGTGTTGTGTGACATCAGCAACTCCGCCCCCACACCCAGTCACATGGTGTGTGACACCAGTACCACATGGTCCATGACATCAGAAGGACAGCCCATGCAGACCCCAAAGCCCAACCCCTCATGCTACAAGAAGCGCCCCAGATCACATGGTGCAGTTATGGCTTATCAGGTCCCAGACCGCTCTAGCCCCCACCGGAGCACAGGCATGGCCTATGGGGTGACAGGGTGGTGGTGTGACCCCTCTAACAAACCACCCCACCTTCCCCAACCAATTGGCGGAGGTTTCAGACACTTCAAACCTCCCAAAAACAACGCTGAACCAATTGGAATGAGTACAGGGGGTAGGATTTAGGCGGTAAATCCCACCAGGTCTATCTGCTTTCCCAAACAACCCCTCTGTTTATCTGAGACTGTGCTAAGGCAAGCAAGGGCGGATATGGATTCTTTCACAATGCCTGTAGGCCCACTCACTACAACCCCAAGACGGCCTTATAGAAAGCGTTACTGTAGAAATAGTATTGAGGAGGGGACACGGCTCCTTGCCCAAAGACTCTTTGAGACGCCTGACCCTGTTCGGGAAGACCCAATGAATAGGCAAATGGAGGAGGCTCAGGCCCTCGAAGCAGACATTGAGAATTTAGAAGATGGTATCTTTGTGCTAGAGCCTGCAGGCGAAGTAGAGGTCATCACACAGGAGAGACCGGTAAGAGACTTGGAGCATGGTTGTGGGGGCACTTGGGTTTTGAGGGTAGGGGTGTGGGTTCACTTCATGGTACGTGTGTGTTTGGAAGTAGCTAAGGACTGATTAAACAGCAGCTAACTAATTTAGGCCTTTATTTGAATTCCTTTGCAGCTAGATGAAGCCTTTTTAATGACTCCAGAAAACCTCCTCACCAGTACACAAGAAGGAAGTGTATGGTTC